ACTCCTACCGATTCATTGTCCGATCCTATTTTCATAACCTTGATGTTTACTACCATAATATAATCTTATTATTAAAAAATATTATATTTTTATTATTATATTATTATTATTTGTCTTTATATAACATAGATGTATTAATATATTAATTCATTTTAATAAAATAAAAAATCATTGCAATTCAACTTTCTTTATCAAAAATTTAAAAAATAATTTAAAAAAAAAAACATTGTAAGATACCAAAACAAGGCAAGAAAACTTAATATTTTGAAGAGACATCACCCACTCAAACTCTACAATAGAGGTGCCAATAAATAACCAAACCCAACAATTCCAACCCAAAAAATTTGGATTGACCAGTTCAATAAATAGATAAAATTCAAGTTTAACATTCCAACTAGTTTAATTGATTCATTGAATTCATGTTGATCAACAAATCCAATTTTAATTAGATTAATTATTTTTTTTCTTAAATTATTTTACTTATTGGTATACTTTACTTTTTTTTTTAACAATTAAACTAAAATCTATAGTTAGCAAATTACAAATTTCATTTTAATCAAAACAAAATTTCAAAACAATTTCAAGACATCCAGGTTACCAACAGATCGAATTCAGGTCCACCTTTTGACCAATTATTTGATTTGGGCCAGCTGAAATTAAGTCGAATCAATTTTGAGTCAGACCCAAATCAAACCCACTAACCCGCTTTGACATCCCTACTTTGCAGGAGAGTTCTTTTCATTCAACAGAAATGTATTGATCAAATACCTAATATTTTGTTCTTTGATCAGACAAGACCAGTGTAATTATCAAGCTTTTATCCAGCAGTTAAATTTATCCTTCAATATATAAATGAATTTAAAAGGCAAAATTGTTATCACATAATTATTCCTCAATATGCAAATGATATAAGTATTTATGCATTAATAAATGTAGCAAGCTTGTTTTTATATGTCATATGATATGAACAAAAATATTCACATAAACATCAGAACTTAGAACAAAAAATTGATAGATAGATCAAATTTATGCCCTCATTTCCATGATCAAATCAAAGAACTACAATGTATTGTTACTCAGAAATAGAACAGAAATCAAAATTGAAATGAATCTTTTGTTGAAAAGAACATACAGAACAATATGTTAATGAAAAATGGTAGCATCAGAGAGTGGCATATGAAGAGAAAGTATGTTAATATCATGACCAAATCTAGATTTCTTACCAGTGATGGAGTTCATCTTTGAACTTTTGGAAGAGTTTTGAGAGGAAAGAAGCCAAGCTAAGGAGCTCAGCTGGCAATGGCGCTTGCTTCTGCTCCACTCACCCCTTCCTTCATGCACTGCTCTCAGTATAAGCTTCGACCGAGGCTTGATCGGCATCTTCACTGAGTTAAAACTCAGTGTTTCTTTCTGATTCAAAGATTTGCAAAAGTTTCCATGCAAAGATGGCTGAGACACCAGCTTTATTGCTTTTTTCCACACAGAAAACGATTCTTGTAATTTGCATGGCAACTGGGCATGCAGAAGAATAATGACATGTAAGTTATATATAGATAGAAAGAATAAAGGTCTAGCAATGGACAATTGATGTATATAAGGATATGTTGATATATTTTATATCAGGATGAGGTTATTTTTTTTGAAATGTGCCTTTAATTTCATATTTCAGATGTTATTTCTAGATATAATTAAATAATTAGACAAATCTAATGAAACTATTAAACATTTGCAATAGTTTTTTTGGTAATGATTATATTTGTAAATGTCTAATAATTTAACTCTATTGTCTGTAATTTAGATATACTAGTCTAATAATTTTTAAAAAAACAGAAAGCATTGATATGCTAATTGCTCTGCAGTAATCTCCAGGAATAAGCACAATGATCTATCATTGCTGGAATGGAGGGGATGGTTCTCGAATTACTCACCGATGAAGGCCAGCCAAAGGAGCCAAATGACATTGTCAAGGACGAGAAAGAAGACCTCCCTGACTTATTTTGCTCATCTATTTGCTGATCACTTACCGAACCGAAACTCGTTGGTGCCCCTTCGTCTTCTTCATCCTCACCATCGTCATCCTGATCTTCATCCTGCCCAGCCTCAGGAAATTCCCCTTTGTCATCAGCTTCAGGAGCTTTTCTCTCTTCCTCTTGCTGCTTCATCTTCAAAACCATTTCCAAATCTTCCATTTCCTCTTCCAGGCAAATCTCAGCCTCAATATATCCAAGTTCCTTTTCAATAAGCTTCTGTTTCATATCGCTGGTTCTCTTCTTCTCCTCAACCCACTTATCCAACCTCTCAAAAATAGGCTTCAGAGCATTCTCAGCTGATGTAATTAGCTTTGCCAAGCCAGTTTGCTTCTTTTCACCAGATGGAGATCGCCCATAAAACTCATCATATCCAAGTGGTAAGAAAACTACTTTGTTAAGGTCAATATCCTCTCCCTTTTCTAGATATGGCTGCCAGAATAACCGCAAGCCATGCTCCTCATCTTCTACATAATTGATAAGCCTACCAGTTGGGGTGTGGAGAATGAGAGGATCTTCTTTATATATGAGTTTTGAAGGGTCTTCAGGATCCGGCTCAGGCTCATCATTGATAAGAATGAATTCAGGATTGTCAGGATCTGGACAGTGGCAGTAGTTTTAGTTATTACCATCAACTTAAACATGAAGCTTGAAAAAAAAAACTATCATAGATTTAACCAAAAATATTCATTGTTTTTTTAACCAAAAATAAATATGCAAAGATTAAAAAATAATCCTTCCCTGGAGGTTTTCAATCAATGAATAGTGCAGTCTGGTTGCATCAGTAAATAAATATGCAAAGAAAGCAATGGACCAATTGTAACCAACTAATACACATACTAGTAACTGTAAATTGAATGATTATTCTATAGCCTTGCTTCGTATTGTCATGGAATTATTGTGCTATGAAGTAGGTACAAGTCATCACTGCTCAGAGAGATTAGCATCTTGCTCTACAAGTGTACTTCCTATGATCATGAAGGTATGGAAGAGATGCATTTGTGATATAGCGCTTCTCTTTGCATATTTTCCACTTAAATCAAAATTATAAAATGCAATATATTTTAAAAAAATCAAAGCAATAAAATATCATCCCCAAATGAAGCTAAGTTCAATGAGGCTTTCCATGTTACATGAAGGTCTCACGCATGCAATATAAGTGCTTATTGATCAAAATTACATGTTGCAAGAAAGTATGATCAAAATCACAGCACAATCCTAAATAATATAGGTGGTTCAGTGAACTGATAGAACACAGGTGCAGAAATTTAAATTTTAGCAACTACAAATCAGATTTATAGAAGAAAATTTTGATGGCAACTCCTTCAAAATCTGTGAAATTGCTGAAAAAATAAAGAAAGAAGACAATATATAATGTATTTTCAATTCGATAGGAAAATCCTCTCTCCAAATCTCTAGTCGAAGACTAGAGCCAAGCAAACCTAGGAGAAACACAAACTCTGCATAACATCACATAATCTAACCATAGAGAGTAAATAACTATTTAAAGCAAAAGCACAAATACAATTCCCTAAACCGCCATTGATTTTGAATTTTCCCTCCCAATGCTTCTTTAATTAAAATCCAAAACTCCATCTTAACCCCGCTGGGCCCCACAGGGTCGTATCGTGTCGTCGTGTTTGTGTCTGTGCATCATAGCTAAAGCCCAAACAAACCTAGGAGAAACACAAATTCCGCATAACATCACATAACCTAACCCTAGAGAGAAAAAAACTACTTAAAGCAAAAGCACAAATACAATTCCCTAAACAGACCTTGATTTTGAATTTTCGCTTCCAAAGTTTTCTTTAATTAAATCCAAAACTCCCACTTAACCCCGCTTGGCCCCACAGGGACGTCCGCACCTTGGGCGGCAGATCTATTCCACTTGGACCAGTTCAACCAGCTCATGAGCCGGTCCAAATTGAACCTTCTATCAATCTATATGATGAAAGGAATTAAAATTTTCTAAAACCAGGAACTATGGCTTTAGTCTAGATTACTAACAACCAAGGTTCATTTCAATAGGTTTCTTTTCCATATAACAGAGCCTTTCAAGAATATAATAATAAGGTTCTCCCCTTGTAAGCGCTCAACCAAGAACGGTATTTCTGTGGGGTGTGGATACTGAGTGGGGAGGTATTTGAAGAGATGATAACTGAAAGTAGAAAACTAGACTTAGCCAATTTGATCTTCCTCTTCTTGGTTATTTTTTTCCTGCTCTTCTTCCTCTACTGGTTACTATTTCCTTCAATCTTTTTTCCTTTTCTTAGCAAACAATTCACCTCCACCTTATAGGACTGACTAGACCGAAAAATAGTTAGAACTTATTGTAAAGGGAGAAGAAAATTCAACAGGTGAAAAAGATAGGAGGGGCACAAGTGGAGGGAAGAAAGAGGCTTGGAATGATTCTTGAATTATTTCATCCATGATCAAAAAGGCCAAATACATGCGCCAATAAACAAAAAAGTTATTGAGCATAATAAATACAAAAGTAAATCACAACGAAGTCCTTGAATCTAGCTAACTGAAGTATAATCCTACTTATTCCAAGGATTAATCCATATCTTATTGTGGGTCCCTCTTTTAAAGATAGGTTGGCTTCTACTTGTTTAAAAACCTCATCTTCATTATCAACTCTTTGAACTCATCTTTATGCTCACCTAGTTAATTTGATTTGAAATTCCTTCCCCTTTGAATAGCTTTGACCAACCCATGTAAAGAAGATAAAGTGGTGTTCATATTTAGCTCTCGTCTCTAATTCCTCTGTATAACCTTCTCTGCTTAGCTTGCTTGCTCTCTGTCTTTTACTTGCAGGTCTTCGCAGGAACTGCCTGGCTAATATGTGACTTCATAATAAATTGTTGAACACTTGAAAAATGTTATAATTCCTAGCTTGATTACACTAAACTCCCTCTTCATACCATCCTAGAACCAAGGTCCATGCTGTAACAACTGTTAGAGTTGGTCTAGGCTTTACTTCAGCCCTTTTTTAGTAAACTCTTAAAAATATGATGCAAGATAAGCCCTCAAACACATAATAATCATATCAAGATCATGAATTATCTGATAACAAAGATACAAAGATCGTAATTTTAGAATACCAAGAGCCAGTCAAGACATCCTCTAAAAATTTTGCTGATGTCTTTCAAAAAGTAACAACTCTACACCTCACCTCCGAAGTGATAAATACAAATCAAACTCGAGTAAATGCTCCTTATTATCTAAATTCTCATAGCTAATACTAGAGGCATGAATCGGAGAAACCCTAATTAATATTTTTTATTCTTGCAAGAGACTTTCATTCTCCTTGTCTATTTCTCATGAGAAAATAGAATATATGATCTTACTTCTTTTTTTTCTGATGAGGGTGTTGGAGAATTTTTGTATCCTCGAACGGATTGCATATTTTATAATCGGGCACGGCATAAGAATACGATATATTACCCCGGAGGGTAAAAATATCATCTCCTTATGGACTCAATCATAAAATTTACAATTATTTAACAGAGATTCCCCCACTCGATGTTTGGTCGAGCGGGGTTTATTTATTTCTGGGGTACAGACATCCCATAGGGGCAAGCCCCTATGGTTAATTACATCCCAAGTTTGATTTGGGAACACTTTTGATTAAACTAGTGGTTTTCTTTCTTTTGAAGTCATTTAAATGTTGGCTAAAATTTGATCTTTGTTGTTTTAAAATCCATGAAAGTCTTGATTAAAGGGTTTTGG